CTGAAGAGCCAGTGCAGGTTAGGTGTGGAAATGAGACCTGTGCTGGCCTGTCCCACACACTCTGGGCTCTTGGTGTCCATGGCTATTTGTTGGCAGCCCTCACAGGCTACAAACAACTAAGGAACAATGCATTTATTTTCTCTTATCTGTGATTTCTAGGTTATCAGTGCTCTGCTGTAGTGCATCTGTGAAACAACCCCACAAAACTGACATGAAGCAGTTTTGAAGTGCACATTCCATCTTCAAAGGTGGGAATAACTTGGAGCAGAGACTTTAAAGTGGCGCTTTCTGGGACTGGTGTTTTATGGAGAGCTGCTCACTCCAGCCTCTGGCACTCTTCCTCAGAGCTCACACCTGACTGTCCAGAAGTGGAAGCCTAGTGAGGAATCCTGGGAATTTTCAGCAGAAAAACAATCCCTTGTAAAAAAAGTTGGCTTCTGCTTTTGTTTCTTACGAATTGGATTTGGAGGGGGGGGGAAAAGAAGTAAAGCTAAACTGAGTGAGTCTAATTGCAATTTCCATGTTCCCATTATTGCATTATCTGAGCTTCTTACAGGCTTTGAAACATTTGGTTGTGCAACTGCTGGCTAAGGAAGGAAGTGTGATTATTCCTGTTTTGCATGTGGGAAGCAGCTTAGGAGAATAAGGATGGGAGTTGTCTGGCTTAAGGATGCCTGCCTAAAAATTTAGGCCTCCAATTTAACCTAGTTAACCCTGAAGTGGGGTTCAAACTGGGTGGGTGAGCTACCCTCCATGGCAGGTGCTCTCTCTGCCTGTAGATGTTGATTTGTTTAGTCACCTCATTTTTGCATAGGTAAAGTTGGAGGCAATGAATCCTGCCCTGGAATAGACCCAGTGTGAGCACGGAGCTTCACAGCAGAGCAAAGAGTTGAGGTGGATTTTCCAAAGTCATTGAATTTTTTTGCTTTATTTTTATTTTTTTTTAATTTGTGCCTTGGTCTCCATTAATTTTTGGGGCTCAGGATGATATTGCTCAAGTTTAGAGCCTTAGTTACATCACTGTAAGAAACAAGACACCAAGAGTTTTGGCTGGTCTGTGCTGCCTTGGTGTGTTGTTGGCTTTGCAGAAGGTTCAGGGTGTGAGGGGCTTTCTTCATTTCACTCTGCACTTTTTGTGCTGGTCAGAGCCCTTGTGGGGACACCAGCAGGGCTTCTGGGGGTCCAGGGTGTTCAGAGAAGGTATAAAACTCTGCCAGGAAGTCTGACTGAACAATGGTTGTGCATGTCAGTAGAGTGCTGCCTCCAGCTCCAGGGGCCCAGCTCAGGAAGGACATGGGGATGTTGGAGCAAGTCCAGAGGAGACACCAAGGTGATGAGAGGGATGGAGCAGCTCTGCTGGGAGGAACGGGAAGAGAGTTGGGATTGTTCAGCCTGGAGAAGAGAAGCTTTGGGGTGATCTAATTGTGACCTTTGGGTACCTAAAGGAGATACAGAAAAGATGGAGAGAGACTGGACATGGGGGAATGGATTCAAACTGAAAGAAAGGAGAATTAGATTAGGTATTAGGAAGGAATTGTTCCCTGTGAGGGTGGGCAGGTCCTGGCACAGGTTGCCCAGAGAAGCTGTGGCTGCCCCATCCCTGGAAGTGTCCAAGACCAGGTTGGATGGGACTTGGAGCAACCTGGGCTGGTGGAAGGTGTCCCTGCCCATGGCAGGGGATTTGAACAAGATGATCTTTAAGGTCCCTCCCAACCCAAACCATTCTCTGATTCTGTGTTTATGTGAATAAGCTCCTCCTGGACCACAGCACAGTTCACCTGACCATCCACAGCCAGCTCTGGACAACTCAGCTGCAACTGAATCAACAAGATCAAGCATTTTGTAGGCAAGTAATGGCAGTTTTCTTCTTTAGATGGTGGCAAGTGTCAACTTGCTGTTGGTGTTGCATCCCCAGTGGTTCTCTCTCCCTCTCTGAGCAGCTGCACTTTGGGGATTTTTTGGAGGGGATCTGCTTAATCCACTCACGTGGCAGGGCTGTCCTGCTCAGCAGTGCTGAGACCTGCTGATACCTTCTCTTGGGCCCCTGCTCTGAGGTTGCAGCTGTTTATTGCTACTGATGCTGTCTGTGTGTGCAGTGGGAAGTGTGGGAAGTCCTGTCCCTGCCTCACTTGCTCTGACACTTCCTTACCAATAGCTTGTGCCCAGGGGAGGAAGCTCTGGGAGAGGAGAAGCTGGTTAGGGTGGGGTCAAGTTATGAACTGCTTGATGAATGGCCTGAATGGCTCAGGAAAGTGAATCTGTCCATCTGCATGACCAATGAACTTAAAACTTTCTCTGCTCATAACAAGCCATGAAAACAGGCAGCTCCAACCCTCGCATTTAAGGTACCCTGTCTGAAAGGCTGAAGCTGCAGGTGTCTGTTGAGGAGTATGAATGGCCACCAAAATGCTGACAAATTTTCTTAGTAGTGCATCCCAGAAGAGCAAATGTTGAACTCCTCTTATTTCTTTTTTCCCCAAGCCATCAGATTGCTGGACAAAGGCCCTTCAAACCCATGACTTTTCCTTCTGAGGACTGACTCAACATACCCACAGAGCCCCCTCTGAGTTTTGCTGTGAGGATTTGGTCCATCTGAGAAAGTGAATTTTCCCCCTTTGCTCTGGGAAATGGGAGCCCTTAAAGATGGCACATCTTGTGATGGCTCTGTGTGTTGTTTTCTCCCTAACTCCCAGGGAGGTGTAAATTATGGATGTTGTGTTCTGACCTTGTGACTGTTCCTATGCGTCTCCCTGCTAATTAATGCACTGTAATTCCGGTGCTAAGAGATACTACCTCTAAAAATACCTAGAGGTGCCTCTCTGGTGAGAAGGCTACGGAATGTGTTGAGGCCTGATCCATTCTTTAGCTGTGCTGTAGAAAGCTCCTGGTACTGGGGCTTATCAAACCCCCTTGGGGAAGGGATGCAGGAGATTTTGCCCTCTAATTGGGGGTGAGATTTCCATTGGTGTCAGCAGAACCCCAGGATACTGTGGCTGTAAGGAAAGCCTTGTGTGTTTGGAGTGATGCTTGAGTCTGCCAACCAGACTGGAAAACAGACCCAAGCTGCTTGGGGCCAGTGTAAATCCTGGCCCTCATGCCCACACTGAGCAATTGAGGGGAAACTCTGGTGATAAATCATAAAATCATTAGGTTTCGAAAAGATCTCCAAGATCTTGAAGTCCAGCCTTTAAATGAATACCACCATGGTGGGAATGAGCAGAAAGAATCTTTCCTTCAGACTTTGTCAGTGGTTCAGTTTGGCTCCTTTAGCATCAGTGTGGGGAGAGTCCAGCTCCATGGACACGCAGGGAGGAGTGGATATCTTGGTTCCTCTGGGTCTGCTCCTCCCCAGCACAGGCTGGTGCTGCACGGCCGTGGCAAGGGGCCAAGGGAACTGACCCCTTCAAACAAGGAGAGAAGGTCCCAGGATTGCTTGAGCCCAACTTAGCCACGTCTGTCATCATTTAGGGCAGCACAGAAAGTCACTGCTTGGACCTGGACAGCTGCTTTCGTGTGTCTTTCCTTCCCCAGCCCCTCCATCGCTGCCCAGGTGCCCTGCTGTGGTATCTCACAGCCTGGTGAGTGCCAAGAGGACACCACAGTTATTTCTGACCGGATCATTTGTGTGTGGTCTTTATTTTTGTATTTTCCTGAATGCGACTGTTGAGTTTCCTGGAACTTGCTTGCCCCAAACCCGAGTCCTTTGCATGTTACGTTGCGCGGCGTGGCGGGTGCCGCGTGTGGCTCTCGGATGTGGCAGGAGGGTGAAATCATCGTCCAGAATAGGAAATGGTGGCACAACTTCCTCCCCCCCAACACGGCTCCAGAGCACTTCTCCTTTTGGCACCAGCAGGCGGGAAGGTGAAGTGAGAAGATCTCTGTTGAAAATGCAGAAGTGCAGGTTGCTCTTGGGAACCATCTCCATGGGCAAAGCCCTTGGCTCCAGCCGGTGGGGAGGGGGATGTGTTGGTGTGGATGGATTGAGCCGTGTGGGTTGTGGCTTCCTCTTCAGACGGGAAGTGTACTCGGTGCGTAACGAGAGAGGCAGAGGATGGGTGGGCTGCAGGCTCTGCAGTCCTCACTCTGGACAGTTGCCTTCTCCTGTTCTTCTGCCCTGGGCAACCAGCAGTCCGTGTCCTCGCTTGCCCGTGTGTTATCTCAGATGTCAGCCCTGCTCGTGGAATGCTAATCCCACAGATCCCACCCTCTGTGATGATCTATCTGCCTTGTCCTGGAGTCAGGGAGAGCCCTCATCCAAGCCCGAGTTCTGCTGGTGTGGATGCTGTTGGCTGTTCATGGTGGGTGCTGCTGGGAAGAGGTTTGGGCTGGAATTTTCTTCGACCTCATTTGATTACCGAGTCCTGCGTGCTCAACAGTAGGGGGAAAAAACACCCCAGGGAAAGTTGCTTGTGCAAAAACACCTACAGCCACTGCATTTCCAGAGACACAAATGACTTTCCAAGGTCACATGAACAGATCCTGCAGCAGACCCTGAGCCTGGGAACGGCTCAGCCATGGCACAAGGCAGCTGAGGGGTGTGGGAGGCCGTGGGGGGAGATAGGAGTGGACTCATGGGGAAAAGCAGAGGCAGTTAAGGGCATGCCATGGATGAAGATGATTGAGGGTCATCTCTGTGGGCTCCTGGGTCTCACAGCCACCCACAGCAATCTTTCCTCTTCCAGACTCTGCTGGGCACAAGTTTCTGCTGCAGCTGCTGGAGCTTTGGGGTGGAAGGAAGAAGGGGATTCTGGTGGAAGGAAGGAGCATCCCCACCAAGGAGAGCAGCCTGTGCACCTTTCAGCCCACCTCTGCTTCTGCTGTAACAGGGTGTTCTCTGGCTGTCCAGAGAGAGGCTGAGGTTGGGAGGGGCTGGAAGGAAAGCTGTTGTTGGGAGTGTTGTGTAGAGAGAGGAGGTGCCATCATGAGGGAAGTGTCTGTGAGCATTGGCACTGAGCAGAGCAGAGTGGCTGTGAATGGCACAACAGCTGGTGCAGGACCTCTGTGCTCTTCCCAGACCTACCAGGGGTTTGCCCTGACACCTTGGGTGAGTTACCTTTTCTCCTCTTGGCTTTTCTCAGCCCCTTCTCCTGCCAAGGGCACGTTGGAGCAGCGAGTCCACAGGTTTGGGGCCACAGCACAGGCTGCCACCCCCAGTTCTGCCAGAGGGATGTGAAGGGGGATCAATCCATACCTGACAGTGCTGGGCTGCCAGATGTCCTAGTGCAGAGGTGTTGTTCTTGTGAATTTTGCTTCTCCTCCTTGAGCTCTTCTGCAAGAGGACTAGAGATAAGATTATGGAATATAGGTAGGAGGTTATGGAATATTTACATGTATACACCCCCAGAGGTAATAAGTTTTTGGCCTGGTTAGAAGGGTCTGTCCAGTCCTGTGTGTGTCACTGACGTCTTCCAACATGCAGAAGGCTGTGATCTAGATCTGCTGGAGGACTGAGCTTCTACAAGTAGGGCTGTTCTGCTCCATTCCAAGCTGAAATGGCCAAGCGCAGGGTCTGGGCTAAGACATGTTTGATTTGGGTGGATTATAGAGTATTTTCAGGTTTGCCTTTCTTGCTGATAGGAGAAGTTGTGGTTCAGCCTCTGTCGCTTGGTTGGGTTGTGAGTCTGAAGCCAAGAAAAAAGGCTGCAGCTTTGTGTCTGAGAGGTCACCCTGCAGCATGGGGAGCACCTGCCTGGTGATCCTTCACCCTGGGCTGGGGGTTTTGTCTTGGAGAGTCAAAGCAATCCCAGAAGAGCCATCTCCATCCCCTGTGAGGGTGAAACCCAAGGGAGTGCTGCTGAAGGGGTGGCTGCAGGGCCACCTCTCCCAGCTCTTGGTGTCAGCACAGCAGTGTTCCTGCTGGGCTCTGGAGCTGCTGTGGTGCACGTCTGATCACAAACAGGCACAGCAGCTCTGCCACCATGCACACACAGTTCTCTGCACTGTTTGGACTCTGTTTCTTGGGATCCAGGTTGCTGCTGAAACTGCTGAAGTTCTAAGAGGGTGTCTTGGATGGGATGGGATGGGATGGGATGGGATGGGATGGGATGGGATGGGATGGGATGGGATGGAGGATCGTGGTCTGTAGCACTAGAGGACAAATGTTGGATCCCTTTGACAGTAGATTTAAGCCCAAATTTCTTGTGTTCTTGCAGGTAGCCCAGTCTGCATAGCCATCCTGCCCTTGCCAGGGATGCTGGAGTGGTTTAGGAGTGAAGAACATCAAATCTCTCTGGTGACCAGTGATAGGACCCCAGGGAATGGCTGGAGATGTGTCAGTGGATGTCTAGGCTGGATCTCAGGAAAAGGTTCTTCCCCCAGAGGGTGGCTGGGCATTGAACAGGCTCCCTGGGGCAGTGGGCACAGCCCCAAGGCTGCCAGAGCTCAAGGAGTGTTTGGACAATGCTCTCAGACACATGGTGGGATATTGGGATGTCTCTGCAGGGCCAGGAGTTGGACTGGATGATCCTTGTGGGTCCTGTCCAACTCAGGGTATTCTGTGATTCTGTGAAGTAGAGGCTTTGTTTGCCACCAGAATTTTCAGTGGGGTAAAGTTTTGTGTGTACAGGAGTGAACCTTCTTCCCAAGACTAAAGGCAGGCACAGACTCTGTGCCTGCCTCCTCCAGCCTCTGAGCAGGGTGGCACCCGGGGGCTGGTCCTGTGTGGGTTCCTCCGAGGTGAACTCCCTCCCTTCCAGGTGATGGGTTGTTGTGGGAGTGAGAAGCTCTTCCAGCCTGGGGCCTACCTAAAAGCTCGATGCTTCAAAAGATTTTCGCTTTCCCCCCTTCCCCAGCTCTAAATTTTAACGGCCGCGCTTGGGACAAGCGCTTTGAAGCCTTAATTGCGATTATGAATCTTCCTCTGTTCCCAGGTTTCCCCTAATTGGCTTCCTGTGAGAATTTACAAAGCTGGTAAAAACAAAACTGATTTTTTTTTTTCTTGAGGGGGAGTTGGTGGCGTGAGATTCCTGAGCCCAAATAAAACCCTGCTCAGCCGGGCCCTCTCGTGTGCTGCTGTGCGGGGCTGGACCCACCCCGTGGCCAGATGCTCACAAGGGTGGCATTATCTGAAATGTAAGCTGATTTACATGCTTGCATTTGGAAAGTGCTATTCTATTTTGATTTTTTTTTTTTCCTCCCCCCTTCTTTTCACCCCCACCCTCCCCTCTCTCTTTTTCTTTTCAGCCCTCTCTAATCTTCTGTGCTCTCTGCCAGGTTCCCAGCTCCTTTGGCTGGAATAGGCCCCAGCTAAATCCTTTATCTGTCTATTTGGCAACCCTGGGCGAAGTAGTTAGCAAACGAATGACACTTTTTCCTGGCTCATTAATTAGATTTACTGAGCTGAGTGGTTGCTGCTGCTGCTGCTGCTGCAAGAGTCTGCACAAGGCAGTTCTGTATTTTGTTTCTTAGAAATTTGGGGTTAAAAAGAAACAGAGTTCCAAGGCAGTTCTGGTACTAGCAGCTAAATCCATGGTTCCTCTGCGTGCACTGCTGTTGAGAGCATGTGTTTTTCTCGTGTGTAGCTTTATTTCTGCAATTTGCTGCTGCAGGAGCAGTTCTGGTTGTGTGTCACATTTTTACTGCTCGAGAAGTTTGAGGATGGGTACCTGTGCTGGGTGCTCGTGGCAGGATATGATGGTTAAGGCAAGTGGTTCTTGTGGCTTAGAAATAACCCCTGTGAAATATTAGAATGTTTTTATGTGTTATAAAAATGCTGTTTGACATGTCCTGCTCTGCCAGCTTTGCCTGCCAGGGTTATAAATGTCATCCACTGCAACCTGGGAATCCAGTGCCAGGGTGCTGGGGCAGCCTGTGGAGGCTGAGGGATGCTCGTGGTGCTGATGTGCTGCTGTTGCCGTCATCCTGTTTACAAATTTGGGTCACTCAGCCAAATTGGGGTCACTCAGCCTGTGCTGGGGACAAGGGGAGGGAGGTCCTGGGCAGTATTTAAGCTCCTCATGTGTAGGACACCTCGTTTGTTGGTATAAACCTCCAAAACTAAAATTGCTGACTTGCCCATGACTGGATGGAGTGATGCAAAAGACTGATAGACGTGTCTTTGCTGTTTTGTCCTCCCTCCAGTCCTGCAGATCCACGGGGAGGGACACTGCTCTGGTCTCCCGTTCCTCGAGATTGCTGAGGCTTTCCGTGTAAAAAAAGGACACCAAGGAGGAGACTCAGAGTCCCTTTGCCTGTTCTCAGCTGAGCGTTTGACCCAGGTAGATTTGCATGCTGTGAGCTGGCATCTCGGGAGGGTGATCCCGCTCCTCCCCTGGGCACAGCGCGCAGCGATCGAGGCTCTGACCGTGCCCAGAGCAGGGTCTGCCCCATCATCTGGTGTTAGTGGACGTGAGGGGCTCTGATCCTCCTTTCCTGGCCGTTGCTGGGTGGGAGCAGTCGGGAGAAGCACTGCCAAGCCCGGGCTCACGCAGAGGTAAGTGCTTTTACCACGGGTTTCCTAAAGTGACGAGCCCTGTTAAATTTTAGTGTGTCACGACCAATTGGGAGACAACTGAAAGCTCAGAAGGGAAGAGGATGTTCAGCAATTTTTTAAAAGCCAGGGTTGGTGCCAGCTTCAACAGGCAGACCCAAAAAAAGGCTGCCTCGAGGAAGGGCTGGCTTTGTGGCTGCACCCCTGGGCTCCTGGAACTGCTTGCTGCTGCTGCAGGCAAAGCCAAGCAGGGATGCTCCATGCGCTGTCCGATCCCTTACCCTGCCTGCTAAATCCCTCCAAACCGGGATGGGTGGTGCCTTGGCTGATCCAAAGTGCAAAGCCCACCCGTGAACTGGGGCTGGCACCGCTTGTGCTTGTGAAAACCATCCCAGTGCGTAGAGACGAAGAACTGCCGCAGTTCCTGGAAGGAGTTTTGTAGGCAAAGAGCTGGGGGAGGAGAGCAGAAATAGCTGCGAAGTGTCACAAAGCTGTGACCAAACGCAATTCGCACTTAACCCACTTGAGAGTTGCCCTCCCAGCGAAGCAGCAAGTGTTTATCTACCAAGGACCCGCCGCTGGGAGAGGCGAATTGCCGGCTAATTGGCTCTGCGAAAGGCGGAGGGGCCAGGCTGGCTAATTAGGTTGGTCTTTACACCTCCCCTGTTAATTGGAGAGTGGAGGATATTCCCGGAGGGAAGTGGACTTCCCCGGGAGGTGACCCCGTCAGTTCGTTGGGTCCTTTGATCCCTCCCGGGGGCGAGCCGGGATTGTGCAGCTGTGAGACACAAGCCTGAACTCTGTCAAAGTAACCTCGCAGTTATTTGGAGTTAATATTTTGAAGTTAAAAGCAGGGAAACAATTGGAAGTCTCCCTGGAGGTAAGTGAGAAGGGGAATAGGTTGCTGCCGGCCTGGGAGTGTTGGGGTGGGAAGTCCAGATCTGGGTCGAGCATCTCCCTGTGCTGGCAGAGTGCCCTCACTTGGCTGAACCTGGGCTGTGTCTTTTGAAAGAAAATTAACTTTTTTAAAAAAGACCATTTAGGCACTTCTCAGAAACAGTCCCCAAGGAACCAGCTGAATTCAGGTGTGACCTGAGTTGTGAGTATTGCAGATGAAACGGAAAGGGTGGAAAAGCCTAGAAAAGCACAGAAAAAATGTGGTGGCTGGATTTTATAGCAGCTCGGGGGGGGAGAGGGGGGGGAATGCTCTGGGTTTAGGGTGCTGTCAGGATCACAGACTCACAGCATAGGTCAGGCTGGGAGGGACCACAGTGGGTCATCTGGTCCCACTCCCTGCTCCAACAGGGCCATCCCAGAGCACATGGCACAGGATTGTGTCCTGAGGGTTCTGGAATATCTCTGGTCTCTGTTCCAGTGCTCAGTCACTGCACAGGGAAGAAGTTCCTCCTCCTTTCCAGATGGAGCTTCCTGGGCATCAGTTTGTGCCTGTTGCTCTTGTGCCATTGCTGGGTCCCCCTGAGCAGAGCCTGGTCCATCCTCTGCCCCCTCCCTGCAAATGCTGATGGATGTAGGACACTTGTCCTGCCACAGGCTTCCTGGGTGACCTGGACAAAGCCCCTTTGCCTTTCCCAGGAGCCTCAGTTCCCTGTCACTGC